TGGGGGGGGGGGGGGGGGGTAGCTGGCCATAAATGTAAGATTCTTTGATCCAGTTATTCTACTGCTAGGCATTTTCTATGTATGTATGTATTTATTTATTTATTCATTGGCACCTGGCTGGATCCAAACCCTTGACCTTGGTGTTATACCAGTCAGCCCTTACTCTTTAAATATACTTTTTAAAAAAACAGTTCAATAAAATATATGTACAAGAATGTTTGTTGCAGCATTTTTTAATAGCAAAAAAAAAAAAAAAATGAAAGCAACTAAAGTGTTTATCAGTAGGGAATTTTAATATGATAGTCATAAGATAATATTCTGTGCAGCTTTTAAAAAGAATGATGTAGATTTCTATTATGGAAGGTTTGCTTGATATTTTACGAAGTACAAATAACAAGGTGTACATTAGAATTATAGTATGATTTCTTTAGCAAAAATGAAAGAAAGAATAGATAAGCTTGTATATGCAAAAGCATATTTCCTGAAAGAAGACACAAGAAAGTAATGATAATAGTTATGAGCTGTGGTGCAGGATTTTTTTTAACCTTTATTCCTTTTGGTGTTCTTAGTCTTCACCCATGTACATGTGTTGTTTTTGTAAATTTTTAAAAGGTCAACAGGGGCTTTCTGGGAGATGGGATTTTGATTTTCGTCATCTTTACTACTCTGAATTTTAAAAAAAATCATGAATCTTAATATTTTTAAAAATACAGTAATACAAAAATAAAAGAAAATGTTTAAAGATTATTTTGTTCTTTACAATTCTCTTGGTTCTGTTCTTCCTTTCATTAGTTTAAGAATTAAATTTTTATAGGAGGTCCAAAAGGATGAAACTTGAAAATAAGCCCCATTAGATACATTGAGTACAAAGAGCCTCCCAAGTTTTATCCTAGGCTATTTGAAGTCATTCTTCTTAGAATTTTGTCTTTATAATTCTGCCTCATAAGACAAGGTACTAGAAGATATGACGGATAATGATTTAATGACACTGTTACCCTAACACTGAACTGTTTTCATTTGAAAGAAGTTGTTCACTCTTCAGGAAAGTAATTATAAAGTTATTTTTACCTTCTGGCAATTTGATTTCTTAAATAGCAGTTTTCTTGACAGAAAATTACAAAATGACAGTATGTAATTGGTTCAGTAAGATGAAAATACATAATTAACTTATGTTGACACTGGATGTTGATTTATTACAGGATTATACTCATGAATTCCATAAAACCAAAGCAAACTTTATGGCAATACGGGAAAGGGAGAATCTCATGGGATCAGTACGAAAGGATATTGAGTAAGTTACCTTTTATATTATGTTGTAAAATGTAAATTCAGATTTAGCTTTAGAAAATGTTCATGATTGGGCCGGCCCGGTGGCGCACTGGATAGTGTGCCGCTTGGGAAGCGCGGCGGCGCTCCCGCCCGAGGGTTCGGATCCCACATACAGACCGGTTCCCGCTCACTGGCTGGGCGAGGCGCGGGAGCAACACTGAGGGTTGCGATCCCGTTGCCGGTCCCCGGTCCGGTACGGGGGCAACACTGAGGGTTGCGATCCGTTGCCGGACACGGAAAAAGACAAAAGACAAAAAAAAAAAAAAAAAGAAAATGTTCATGATTAATTATGAATTGGGTAGCAAAACCATGATTTAGATTTCAGGGTTTCCAATTCTCATTTCACTGCTCTTTCAACATTGCTACTACAATATTGTCCTAATCTACTTTCCCTAGTTTTCTCATTGGCTCCTGCCAACCTTGACTTTCCTGTCTTAATTCGAAGTCCAGCTTAGATGATATCTTCATGAGTTCTTCTCTGAGCTCTTACTACCCACCCTAAGAATTACAACATTACCAGTAATGAAATTCTCCATGTTTCCCTTCCTGATTACCACCTATCCCCTGCCCTTCTCCCTTGTCTCAACAATTACATATTTAGGTAGCTATTAACATAGCCTTTACCTCCCTGAAATTCGGAAATGTGTGTTTTTTCCAGATTTAATACAAACTCATAGCGTTACGTCAAATTATTTAGAACATTTTATGCTGATTACATGTAAGTCTTTTGTTTAATTTCTGTACAGTTGGCTTACATAAACATTTGAGGAATGTATTGAGAACCAATGTAGGGAACGGCCTTTAATGTGTAGACATTTAGCTCCCCCGCAATTTGTGGGAATCACTAGAATGCAACCCACTATAATAACTTACTTTTTGAAAAACAAGTATTAAAAAAATGTTCATCCATTCATTAAACTATTTCCTCAGTACCAATTATGAGTAAGACATTATGTCAGTCACAGTAGAAGATGGAAATGAAAAGACCAACTTGGCCCTGTATGGGACGGCCCGGTGGCGCACTGGATAGTGCGCCGCTTGGGAAGCGCGGCAGCGCTCCTGTCCGAGGGTTCGGATCCCACATACAGACCGGCTCCCGCTCACTGGCTGAGCGAGGCACGGGAGCAGCGCCAAGGCTTGCGATCCCGTTGCCGGTCCCCGGTCCGGTACGGGGGCAACACTGAGGGTTGCGATCCGTTGCCGGACATGGAAAAAAGACAAAAGAAAAAAAAAAAAAAAAAAAAAAACAACTTGGCCCTGTAGGATTTATGATCTAGGTGCTAGAGGGTAGTTAGACACATACTCAAATTAGTATAATACAAGGGAGGATATGATTCATTTTTGTAGTTTTTTGCAATTTACACAGTACTTTTTCATGTATTATCTCTTTTTTGACTTCACAATAATCTTTTGGTAAAGATAGAAATTATTAGTCTCATTTTACAAAACTAGATACTGAGTGACTTGTCTAAAGGTAACTAGCTATTAAATGATGGAGTGTAGATTTAAATCCAAGTAATATGTCTTCCAAGTCCAGTGTGTTCTTGGTTATATCATTCTGCTTTTCCTGGTGTGCTTTGCATAGTAGCATGGCCTCTTAGCCAGTAATTCCATTTTAGCAGCATGCCTCTCTTTTGTATTTGTGCAGTTATTCGAATTATTAAAATTTTGTTCTTGGCACTTTATTATTAGTGGAAAACAAAAAAATGAAAGCATTGATAGTAGAAATAAAGAGCAGTTTGGGTGAATTTTAATATGCTGAAGACCAAGATAGAAATCCTTAAGTGTGCCAAAATTAGCAAATCTTTAGCTTCATTGCAGTGTTCTTTAGGTGTCCATTGATGAACCTCATGTACTATTATTAAGGAAATGTTCCATTTCAATAGCTTTCCCATCCATGTACTATGTACTAATCAATCCAAAATTTTACTTCTACTTGGAGAAAATGAAGGCACAGGAGATAATAGACAAAGAAAGGAAAAGTAAGAATTTATTTTTTGTTTAATAATGTTGAGTTATTTTGGTGAAAACAGTATATTCTAAGGCCTAATTTAGAGAGTCATTCATATTTATCTATTTATAATAGATACCATTTTTAGAGGGAAATGAAAAGGATTGACATTTTGAAATGAAAAGGATTATACATTTTAATTTTCATTCAAAACTATGGAGAGGCTCAATTTGTCCACTTTTGATATTACCAGGGTCAGCCACTTAATGTGATTTTGCTCTGTCAGAATGTTCTCAAGTTTTCTCTATTCTGTCCTAGGTCATATAAAAGTGGGTCCGGAGTAAACAACAGAAGAACTGAACTGTTTTTAAAAGAACATGACCACCTTCGAAAGTAGGTATTATTGAATGTATGTGTACTGTGTAGTTTCCCATGTTTATTAATTCATTTCCTCAAATAACAAACATTTTATGGTGTTTGTTACAGTAAGAGCTTTATCAAGATAATTCTCCTAATGACCCTATTCAATAGAAATGGAATTGCAATTATTGTGACCATATTTAGGAAAGATACTATGGCATTGAGTATTTCACATCGCTTAATTATTACCTGTAATGTGTTTTTTACTGCCTTAATGTGTTCTTTTCTTTAACAAGTCTATTGCTCTTATACTTTCGTTGACTACTACAGGTTATTAGTAATAATAATAGTAATAGTACTGATAATCCCTTGTGTTTGAATGGCCTGTTAGCACTTATATATGAAGAAACTTTATAAAGGGTAATTAGGACATATATCAAATCCAAAAAAAAAGTTTTGTTTTCTAAGATTTCAGAAGAAAACACCTAAAATCTTAGATGAACTTTATATATTTTTTAAAACAAGTCACCGTACTCTATTCCTGCTTTGTCTCTTTTTCTCTGAAATGTGCTAGTTTCTTTACTGTTTGTTTTATATTTTTTGTAAAACTTAAGGATCAGAAAATTACTTATCTCTTGGGCCGGCCCGGTGGCGCACTGCTACAGTGCGCCGCTTGGGAAGCACGGCGGCGCTCCCGCCAAGGGTTCGGATCCCACATACAGACCAGCCGCTCACTGGCTGAGCGAGGTGCGGGAGCAACACCGAGGGTTGCGATCCCGTAGCCGGTCCCGGTCCGGTACAGGCGCGACACTGAGGGTTGTAATCCGTTGCCGGTCACGAAAAAAGAAAAAAAAAAAAAAGAAAATTACTTATCTCTGTGAACTCAGCCTATAAGCACTTAAGCAGCTTATATCCATGATAGTTAAGCGTTAGGAATTATGTTGCTATTTGCTGCTGAATTTCATAAATTAGTCCTGTCATATGAGCTTAATGTACTGTTCAATTTATTTTTCTTTGAAGATCACCACTTTATTTATTTATTTTTTGTTTGTTTGTTTTTGGTGGCTGGCCAGTACAGGGATCTGAACCCTGGACTTCGGTGTTGTAACACTGCACTCTAACCAACTGAGCTAACCAGCCAGCCCAAGTTCACCACTTTAAATCAAAACATGGAAAGATCAAGACCTTTTTAGGAGCCTGGGTGCTTCTAGTTTGGGAACTAATTAGTGTTCTTAAACTGTTGAATATTATTGATTGGCACAAGAGGGCAGTATCTCCTAGAGTGTGTTTAGTTTATAGTTATTCATAGCTTTGGTAATTCTTCTTGTATTTGTTAAAGAACACCATAAAAAGAATTTGGCATTGCATCCAAAACTATGTTAACATATTCTTGGGGTACTGAGTAATTCAAGGAGAACATATTCAGGTAGCACAAAATAAAGATTAGATTGCATTGGTGTTTCTGTATTTATTGCCTCAAAAAAGAAATTAAACAGAAATGCAGTGTTTACTTTAAAAAAAAAATTTGATGCTGAAAAGAGTATACCAGGGTAATTATATATATTAATACTCTTTATTTTATTACTCCAGAACAAATTGTGTTATAAACTTTTATATGAAATTTTGCAGGAAATTTTGCACTTATTTTAATTACTTAAAGTAATTAAGGTTTTGTTTTTTTTTTTTTTTGGTGTCTGGTCAGTAATCAAACCATGGACCTTGGTGTTATCAGCACCACGTTCTAGGCAACTGACCTAACTGCCCAGCCTCCCTTTAGGAGTTTAATATTGTTCGTTTTACAGGGAAAAAAAATGAAACAATTTAAGTATACACGTCTTAAATAATTTGTTTAGTGTTATAAAAATGATGAGACAGTGGATGTTAGAAGGTATTTTTTCATTTTTGTTTGATCAAAGTAAAATGTCTCAGACAATTCTTTATATAATATACTTTATATATTCCTTTTAGAGGAATTGTTGAGACTAAAAACATGGGTTTAGTTATTGCTCTCAATATTAGAACACCTTTTTTAAAAATACCTTTTTAAGAAATCAGTCTTTCTGTGTAAATTACAAATACTTGCTAAATAATAAAATAACAAAATTATGGGCTAATATATTTACAAAATAAAATGAAAAACTTTCTCTGGTTTTTCAGTGTTGTCTCTATTTCATTTGCTAAGTGCTTTGAGGAAGAATTAGCAAGATTTTTTGGAATAACTTTTTTTTAAATAACAATAGTATAAGTATACTTCATAGTGCTTATTTTAGAAAGTATAGTTCAACAACACAAAAAGAAAATTTAAATCAGTACAGATTTTGTAATATTTTTTACTCATCAGTACATTGTGATCATTTTCCCATGTTATTTGATAATTTGTTTTGTTTTTCAAAACATATAGTACATATATTCCATAAAATAGATAAACCATAATTCATGTAACCGTTTCCCTAATGTTGATCTTTTGGATTATTTTCAGTTTTTACTTTTATACATAGTGAAGTCTTTGCATGTACCTGTAGTTATTTCCTTATGATAAATTCCTAGAATTAGAATTGCAGGATTAAAGAATTTTTTTTTTAATCTTACGTTTCAGAATATATTTATTTTTAAAACTTTTGATATAATAGTGTCAAATTCCCTTCTAAAGGTATGCTAGTTTATAGTTCCATTGATATCATATACATAAACACTGCCCAGTGCCCTCAGTAACCACTGGTGTTTTGATTTTTTTTTTTTTTTTTTTTTTTTTTTT